ATATATAATTTAGAAGCCTAAAAAAATAGCTTTTATCACTTTATGGTTGGGCCAGTCATGTAAACATGGCATCTTATTAATCTTATAATTTAAAAGGAATATATAAATTGTGATTTGTTGATCTCAACTTTCAAATAATATTTTATTTTGTAGTCATTAATTTATTTCATGTTAATAGGGTTAATTTATATGTGGTGTTTTACTAATCCCTTATTAATTTATTTAAGATACTTCAGTTGTGACAATCGATAGTCTCAAATATTATCTAAATTTACATTAATTTATTTTATGCTTTAGATTTAATTAAGGCATAACACCTTATTAAAACTGTAATTTGTCTCAAGACGTAGCTTGGTAATCACATGTTTGCATACACGTTTTTTTTCCAAGTTTTGTGAACTGGAACAGTTGAATCAATATGACTAGAATGTATCCTTAACCAGTTTGATTGGTTCAGTGAATTGTTTTACATCGTATTGATAGAAAATGAATAGAATCAACAAAAACCAGTCAAATAAACAGGTAAAAAAATCGGTCAAACTGATTTGAACCGATCCAATTTAATTCTTTAACTTTAAAATTTAATTTAAATTATTTTTTATTAAAAATTATAAATTAAAATAATTTATTTTCAATATTTATTTAATAAATATAGTTTAATCATTTATGTTAATTTTTAATTTATAATATTTTTATTTTTATAATTTATATTATATTAATTTGATACTTTTTATCCTAGATGTAAACTTATTATTATTTATAGACATTATTATATTTTATTAAAACTTAGACTTAAATATTATATTTTATATAATTTAAAATTTTATGTATACATAAACTTTTAAAAATATATAAGTAATATTTTATTTTAATTTTTAGTATTATAAGATTTAATATTATATTTATTTAATATTAATTTTATAATAATAATAATAATAATTTTTTTATTAATATTAATTTGATTTAAAAAATGTGTTGTCTATATGTTGCACTAAAAATTGGCCCATTGTTATATCTGTCACAAAAAAAGTGTTTATTAAATAAATAATAAAATAATTGAAAAAAAAGTGCTGATGTATATAATGTATATCCGGCATGTTTGAGACAAATTACAATATTATACTAATATATATTAGTATATAAAGTCGTATTTAAGTCAAAAATTGGACCCGTGTTATGAAAAAGCTCAATCGCCGCACACCATTTGGCAGCATCTCACGTTTATTATTACCTCCTTTTGTCTTATATTAATATTAATATTCGCTTACCTAATATCTATTTGATCCTATTTCTCGTGATTTATTAGTTTTAATTTTAATGCTTTAAACGTTTTATTATTATCATCATTATTATTATGTTTATGTCCTGTCTATAATTTATTTTTGTACACTATTTTTCGCTTATGTAATTTCTCTGTTTAATATGGTCGTGAATTCGTGATAGCATGTAATGCCTTAAACGTTTATCTTACTATTACTAATTTATTATTGTGGTCATAGTCTATTTTTTTTGAAAGGAGTATGGTCATAGTGTATTATTTAATGCTACACCGCGATTAGAATGTGATAGATGCCACGCTTAATTTTCTTTAATTTATCATGCATAAAAAGAATAAGTAGCCTTTTTAATTTTTCTTGCAAAAATCAACGAAAGAATAAAAAAATATAATAAAGAAAATAATAAAAATAAGAAACTATTTTAATGTATTTACTTAATTTTTTTTACATACTTAAAATATTTTAAATTCTCTTTGTCTTCAAATTCTTCTAATACTTGATGGAAATTAAAATTGAATGAATATTTTATCATTAGGGATGCCAACAAAATGTGTACATATAGATA